AAGCTTTCTTCTTCCTTCGGAGACGATCCTGAACTCCATCTTCATTTCTCGTTTCCCTCAATCACAGAATATGACGATTGATATGGTCTCTCGTCTTCTTCCTTTCTGATCTCGTCAGGTATAGCTGTCTTGCTGAGCATTTGTTCAAGAACTAAATTCATTTTAAACCTTTTTTTTATGGCCCAAGTTCTGTTATAGATATTTTGGATATTCCTACTTCTTAGTAGTTGATTGTCATTCATCCAAAGACGCCGATCATTCTAGTGATTATAGAGACAAAAGGAAGAGCGGAGAAATGGTACTTTGATTTCTCCTCCTTCCTTCTCGGTGTTTGTTAGAATTCATTGTTCTAAGGAAGTGTTCATTCCAAGGGATTTTTTTTGACATTTTCTGTTTCTGCACTTCGTGTGTGTGTGTTGTTTGCATCTGCTGTTCCCTTTGGGTTGGAATTTCCAACAAGAAAGGTTTTTTTTGGCATGGATTACTTGTTACAAATTCATCATAGTGGATTTTAGCTCGTCGATTATCCCTACTACGGGCAAACAAAGCAATAGATCTTATCCAAAGTCTAGAGTATCTTGTTCAGGGTCACTTTATTCTAGGAAATCTATGTCAGAGCCCCTGTTCTTGCTTGAGCCCCAATCCTTAACTTCCCAATTCGCTTTTCTGAGTAGGAATTTCATGTTAGCGTAGCCTTTGCCTTTGCCTGATATATATTTTACGAGAGGAGCAAACGGTTTGTCAGATCATAGATTCCTCATTTTTTAGCTGGAGAACCCATGGTTCGAGAACCTTCAGACAATTAGCTCATGCTCAAATTTAAGTTGAATGACCGACGATTCGTAGATTCAACTGAGAATTTTTTCTTCCGGAGCAATTTGTTATATTTCCTTTCAATGATGCATCTGTAAGTAGTGGCTACTTTGGGAAAAGGGTGCAAACTGTGAAACACAAAGGTCTTCAGTATTTTCTGTTGGTCTGCCGGTGATAGTGGAGCCTCTTAGCTGGAAAATAAGAATTGTACTAGCCTCTTTTCCTTGAAACTACTGCAAAAATTTTTTTCAGTTCCTATTTATCTGAAATTAATAACTACTTTCTGTCATATTTTGAAGAATTGAATAGAACTTGCCCATCGTTTTTCATGAAAACTTTTTTCAGTTGACGCATGACAAACTGTAATACTTTTGAAGCATTATAGTTTACCTGTGCTGTAACACTTTCAACTGTAATATTTGTAAATTGTAAGTTGATCTACGAAGTGGCGTTTACCTATCGCTGAAATAAATAAACTCACCGTATCTGGTAGTGTCCCTTGCGGACATCTTTCAGTTTTGAATAAAACGTCTCCTAAATTTTTTTCCCCTCTTTTCTATTTTTGTCTCTGCCATCTGAATGCAGGCTTTCTTGTAAGGTTCAACAAGATTCCGTTTGTGAGTGGTTTGGCCTGGCTTGCTTTTTGGCTAAGGTGAAAAAAGGTAGATAAATCTCAATACTTTTAAAGGCTTTCAGAATTTAATAGCATTTTATTGGCTGATTTATATAATATCCCGAATACAGGCTGAAATTCTATATGAGCTGATTGAGCAAGAGGTGAACCATGTCGTTAGTTAGATCTGCAGAGCTGCCTGCTACACCTTATAGAAATGCCAAGCTCTACTCAATCAAGGGAAGTGATATTGGGGCCCGGCTTTCCCTCCCAAATTTTTGGTCATGATAAACACAAAAGCATGTACATAACAGATTCTTACTCCAGTGAGAGTTATGAGAAGTACTTTCACGATTCACCAACTGAAGAACTGATAGACACTCCCACTTCCAGCATCTCTGGAAACTCACTGCCTGATGGCTCTTCCTATCTGGTTAGAGCTACTTCAGGAATCTCTGTGGTTACCAACAACCCATTTGATATTTCTTTCGCTTCCATGAGACACAATGATGCCCGTCAGTCCAACTTTGGATCAGATGTCTTGGAAAATGGAAGCCCAGATCCACTTGACTTTGATGATCAAATGAAATTGAAGCTCCAAGAATTAGAGAGGACACTGCTTGGTGATAACAATGATGATTATGAGGACGAGTTCATACTCGGGACTTTTCAGAGCATGGATATTGATGCTGAGTGGGGTGAACCCATTCAGAATATGTTGCACCACGGCTCACCAAAAGAGTCTTCATCCTCAGATTCTAACCATAGTACCATTAGCAGTATCTCTCCCCGGACCCCAAAGCAATTGCTGTTAGAGTGTGCTGGTGCAATTTCAGAAGGAAATGTAGAGGGAGCCTCGTCTATGATAAATCAACTCCGGCAGATGGTATCAATTCAGGGAGATCCTCCCCAGAGGACTGCAGCTTATATGGTGGAAGGACTTGCAGCTCGAATAGCTGAATCGGGCAGCAGTATTTATAAGGCACTGAAGTGCAAGGAACCTCCTTCGTCAGACCGACTGGCAGCTATGCAAATACTGTTTGAGGTGTGCCCATGTTTTAAATTTGGATTTATTGCTGCCAACGGTGCAATTACAGAGGCAGTTCAAGATGAAAAGAAGGTTCATATAATAGACTTTGACATCAATCAAGGAAATCAATACATAACTCTGATACAAGCACTTGCTTCAAGGCCAGGTAAGCCGCCACATGTGAGATTGACTGGGGTTGATGATCCCGAGTCCGTCCAGCGATCTGTTGGGGGCCTAAAAATCATTGGACAAAGACTTGAAAAGTTGGCAGAAATACTTGGATTGCCGTTTGAATTTCGAGCTGTGGCATCAAGGTCTTCCCTTGTCACTCCATCGATGCTTGATATTCGTCCTGGGGAAGCACTTGTGGTGAATTTTGCATTCCAGCTTCATCACATGCTAGATGAGAGTGTTTCAACGGTAAATGAACGAGACCAACTTCTACGCATGGTTAAGAGCTTGAATCCAAAACTTGTTACCGTTGTTGAACAAGATATGAACACCAATACGCTTGCATTTTTCCCACGATTTGTTGAAGCCTACAATTACTATTCTGCTGTGTTCGAGTCGCTGGACGCAACTCTTCCTAGAGATAGTCAGGATAGGATGAATGTTGAAAGGCAATGCCTGGCAAGAGACATTGTAAATATTGTTGCATGCGAAGGTGAGGATAGGGTTGAACGTTATGAAGTTGCTGGAAAATGGAGGGCAAGGATGAAGATGGCCGGCTTCACTACGTCGCCAATGAGTGCCAATGTGACTGACGCAATCAAAAAACTCATTAAGCAGTACTGTGACAGGTACAAGATGAAGGATGTGATGGGCGCACTTCATTTTGGATGGGAAGACAAGAACCTGATTGTTGCTTCAGCATGGAGGTGACCAGTTCATTCTTCAGCTCGGAGACTCTGGTGGCGAGAATGTAGTATTTGCTTGTTTACTCTGAATGTTAATGATTTGTGTAGGTGTATATTTGAGTCGCTGACGTTAAATCTTAAAGCTAATATGGAACTTTATGTTACACATGAACGCTTGACTTCCTCGTGAGGACTCATCTGACAACATAAAACTGTTATTCTTGGCTTCTATGGTTGGCATAATTAGCGTTTCCGAGTACTACTTTCATTTCAGCCAAAAATTCATAGGGATAGCGTAGGCTTGGGGAATGTTTGGATAAAAATAAAATCATAATTTTAAAAGTATTTTTACGGTATACGAAGTAAATATAAGAAAGAGTTTGTCTCGATTTGTAAAAAAGTGTTTTTAAAAAGCACTTTACATTCATCCAAACACTCCCGAAGCTAAACATCTTTTTGTTGCTGTTTTACTAGTGCCCCATAACGGTTGAAATCCCCCCCCCCCCCCAAAAAGTACTTAGTGGTTAAATGGTGTTCTACTCATCGTTATAGAAAATATTTGAACTATTGAAAATTTAATCTGAACAATTTAGTTTTACAATTTTTAATTTGTAATTTTTTCAACGGTAATTTTTTTTAAAATACTAAATATAAGTTTATCTTTATTTTTAATTATACACTGTATGTGTTAAAATTAAAAAAAGGAGAACCCAAAAAAAAAAAAGCCTGAAATTACTAAATTTCAAATAAAAAATTCTTAAAAAATGCATTGTTACTTGTAAGTCTGTTGTTGTCAAAATTTCGATTTGAGAATTTATAAATTTTCTCAATGAAAAAATTATTTAAAACATGAAAAAATTTAAATTGTTAGACTAATTAAAATTAATCTGGTCCATGTTCATTCGTGTGATGTGTCGCCTTATCCAGATTAACATATGTTCGGTCCAAAGATTAATTATAAGGGCTTGCTTGCATTTGTTCTCACATATTTATAAAGCACGACTGAAAAAACAATCGTTAACGCAAACTAGCGAGAAATTTCTGCTGTAACAAAAACTGCTGCTGGGAAAGGGGCCGCGTTGAGGATCAGGGTGAAAACGGTCAAATTATCTCGTATTTTGTTCTAATTCCACTGGTCCTGGAAATGGAAATTCCAACTTCCAACTACCTGCTTGCCGTGCCGTCTTTAGCTTTGACGAATGCGTGGCGTGGCTTAATCAATCCTAAAAAATGTAGAAATTTATTTCCATGCTTATAGTAGTACTTCTTCTGTCTTAAATATAAGATCCTTATACTAGTGTGTATAAGAGTCTTATATTTAGAAACGGAGGAGTAACTTAGAGCTGTCATTCGGGTTAAGAGAGTGCGAAGCCCTTCTCAGCTGAGCTTCGCATCAAAGATTACTATTTTCATAAGTCAGAGCATCATTGGATCATTTTCACTTATTATTTCTTAGAAAATGAGAAAAAAGAATAGTGTAAATAGTGTAAGTAATGGGCTTGAGCCCAAACAATGGCATATGCTTGAAGCCCTAAGGAGAATCCAGAAATAACAATGAAAAGAAGATCGGGAGGAGTACCCCAAAAAAAAAAAAAAAACCACAGATCGAGAGAGTACGAGAAGGGAAGCGGACTTAAAATTAAAATCGAAACGAAAAGTTTCTGTGAAATCGGAAAGAAGGCCGTCGAAGGAGAAGGACAGAGATGTCGAGGACGCTGGTGCAGCCGATAGGGCAGAAGAGGTTGACGAACGTGGCGGTGGTGCGTCTGAGGAAGCATGGAAATCGCTTCGAGATCGCCTGCTATCCAAACACGGTCCTTTCCTGGCGTTCTGGCGTGTGAGCTTCCCCTACTCTTCTCTTCCTAAACCCTAGCCTTGGAATGGAACTAGCAAGATTCTATGGTTCCGACTTATGCTCCGTCTTGTCCTCAGGAAGTAAAAAAGAACAACAATCTTGAGAACTTGCAAGGGGTTTTTTGACTTATTGGCTCATATCTTTTGGGGACAATAATCAGGGCGTTTTTCTGCTTAAATTACACTTTAAATCTTTATGCTCTCCACTGTCTTTCTGGCCGATGATGAGCGTAAGAAGCTCTTAGGATGGACTAATTGAGTCAGTATTTGAAATCTGTTTATGATCATGTCTGAGGGTATTTACTTGTCATTTTTCTGTGGCAGCGTCAAGGAATGCATTATTTAGTTACAGTAACTGTCATTTGATGATATTTTCTGTTTCAATTCAATCGCTCTATTCATTGTGAGCCCTTTCATCTGGAATATTTCAGTCCATCCATGTCGCTTCTTTATGTTTCCTGCATAACCAAGCATGCTTGTGTTTACGGTTGATCATATTAATGCTGTTAATTTGGCAACAGTGTTTTACTACTGAATGTGAAAAGTTGTGATGCATTTTCATAAATTTAGTTGATGTAATTTGTGTTTTTGACATCATTCAACTGAATTGACTTTGGAACAGGGAGAAAGATCTGGATGAAGTATTGCAGTCGCATACCGTCTATTCAAATGTTTCTAAAGGAGTTCTAGCAAAGTCAAAGGATTTGGTTGCTGCCTTTGGGACTGATGATCAGTCAAGGATATGTTTAGAGGTTTGTAAAAGTCTATTTGAATATACATTTAGGTTTCCTCTGGTTGTTATGTAATTTTTCCTCTTCATTTTACAGATTTTAAAGAAAGGAGAGCTTCAGGTTGCTGGGAAAGAGAGGGAATCTATTCTTTCAAATCAGTTCAGGGATATCGCAACCATTGCTATGCAGAAGACATACAATCCTGAAACTCAACGTCCTTACACAATCAATATGATTGAAAGACTAATGCGCGAAATACATTTTGCTGTCGATCCAAACAGCAGTTCAAAGAAGCAGGTCAATTTACTTTTTATTTTTTCTTAGATATTTTTAAAGGCATATGATGGACATCAATTGTCAAGCCGTTCTATCATAATGTGAAGTGTGAGCACATTCTAAGTTGATCTCGTCGCAAATAATGATTATTCTATGAAAGAACAGTTTACTTCCCATCCTAATTAACAATCTAATCTGTTGACTAGATTTGAGTTCTATTCATTTACATTTAAATCATTTTATTTTGTTTGTTTTAAATAAAGTGTAACTCTTAAAATAATTATGAAGGCGCTGGAAGTTATTCAAGAGCTTCAAAAGCACTTTCCAATTAAACGGTGTCCACTAAGAATACGAGTTGCTGCTCCAGAGGAGGAAGTGCGTACACTGCTAGATAAGCTGAATGCTTGGAAGGCCAGCATCATTTCCAAAGAAGCATCTGCTAATCAGTTGTCCATTGTGAGATTGAATTCCCCTAGTTTTTTGCGTGGAAGTAGTTCTTCATTTGAATCCATTTTGCGTTTCAACTGCAATGGTTTTTCTTCTCTCGCTGACTCTTACGTTTGTGCTTGTTAAATTTCAAGGTGCCATCATGCTTAGCGGTTGAAACTTTAAATTTGTAAATAGAAGTGTGATTGAAGATATGCACTAACCTCCTTTCACCTGTAAAATTTAGAAACAACATGAATAGGGAGTAAGTCAAAGCTTATTTTGTTGAAATCTGGCATGTGACTGCTGTTCCATACAGCCTT